GCTATTGAGAATTTTGCATCTGGCTCTAAATCAGCATCAGCATCAAAATAAAAATAGTTATAAATGCTGATTGATGATGATTTATGATTTGGAGTTGGTATGTTTCATCATCTGAATTTGGTTGCATTTGTTGAAAGAGAGAAAACAGGTTACAACAAACGGTACACAAAATGATGAAAGATTATATTTTTTAAGTAGCTTTTGTTGTTGTTGTGCTAAGCGAAATGTCTAACCATGTGTTATACGAGAGTTTTGTTTGAAATTCATTAACCAACTTTTAACTTAATTCACTATTATGCTATTGGGGGTATTCCCTTATCTTTAGTGTGTTGTATAGGTTTGTGTGCATGTAAATGGTCTCAAAGGCTCAAATCTCAAGGTTCCCTCCAGAGGAGTTTCTCTCCCATACTCTCCCCCCCTGGCCTGAAACGCCAACATTGGACTCCTTTGTTTACTTAACGTAACATAATGACATCTCTATCACTTCTATTGGCTAGCGCTCCAACACATTTTAGATGTAAGGCTAACGTAACGTACACACGGTTCCGTTGCGTTGACGCTTGCCGGTGGGCGTGTCTGGCGCTTGGGGTTAACGCGACCAACAACCAATCACATTAATCTCCCACCCCGGACACACAAAGCACGCGGTTTGATTGGCTAGCGCTTGTACTGGCATATGATTTGATTGGCTGGCGCTTCCGTTGACGCATGAAAAGTTGAACTTTTTCTCAACTTTCACCGTGAGCAACGGAGGCAAAGCGAAGCAACGGAACCACAATGCAGTTCGGCACAGCGTGGTGAAAAGAGGTGCTGCAGCACAGGCAGTATGAGAAAAATAAAGAGCGTTCTGAACATTAAAGCATCTACATGTCACAGTAGAGGCACAAAATACAAATATAAACCTAAAAGTGAGCATGATAGGGCCCCTTTAAAGTAGTTTTAGATTTCGCTTTTGTTGATCAATTACAGATTTATGTTTTCAGCTTTAAAGCTCACCGCTGCTGTCTATGGCTTCATATTTACTGTTCAGACACAAGACTGGTATCGACCTTCATGTATAAACTCTCCGCCAGAAATCCTCTAAGAAGGCAGGATAACCTATTCAGTGGAATCGGCTGTTTGGATATCGAATCCGTAGATAAAGAACCAATCCATAAAAAATATGATCTGATTAGATTAGGAAACATGATGTTCTGTCAAAGGGGAGCTTATCTCATCAGATGTATGAGATTACTCTGATCGTTATCTGATATACTGTGTGTGTGTGTGTGTGTGTGTGTGTGTGTGTGTGTGTGTGTGTGTGTGTGTGTGTGTGTGTGTGTGTGTGTGTGTGTGTGTGTGTGTGTGTGTGTGTGTGTGTGTGTGTGTGTGTGTGTGTGTGTGTGTGTGTGTGTGTGTGTGTGTGTGTGTGTGTGTGTGTGTGTGTGTGTGTGTGTGTGTGTGTGTGTGTGTGTGTGTGTGTGTGTGTGTGTGTGTGTGTGTGTGTGTGTGTGTGTGTGTGTGTGTGTGTGTGTGTGTGTGTGTGTGTGTGTGTGTGTGTGTGTGTGTGTGTGTAAAATATGTTGCGTTCTTTCAAGAATTCTTTGACATCCACCTCGGTTTTACTTCAAACATTTCCAGCCCTTTCACTACACAAGTGTATGAAGGGAAAGCTAAGGATTGGCTTTGTGTGTGTGTGACTGTACAGATGCTGCCACATTACAGGGACAGATGAGCTGCAGTGACAGAGCGAGCGAGCAAGCTGCATTCACACGTGATGGATCATTGCAGCAGGGCGAGGAGATGTAGATTCTCACGGTGACATTTATTTTACTCTGTGAGCATTTCTCCGGCAAGCTGAAGTGAGGTCGTGCTCCGTTAGCTCTCAACTCGAACACTCGGAAACCACAAGCTTCTCTTTGACATTTCTGCTTGTTTTGTTTTCTTGGGAGACAGATACTCCCTGGTATGCATTCTGCGTTCGAGCTGTCGAACATGCAGGGCAGCGTCTTTGAATTGAACTTGACCTCTAAAGATTAAGCAGTGGATAAACACGTGTAAACATTACAAGTGGCTCAAAGCCACTTTTTCTGATAGCAATGACACAACACAGAGTCCCTGCTGATTTAATGCTTATCCAGTATTCATTTTCTCCTAAGATGTTTATCAGACATAATCACCCTTTTGCTGAAACTAGATATGTAAACATGTGATGCTTAATCTCTAAGATACTTAAATCCTTGTAAGTTGATGTCTTGTAACACGACAGCTTACTCTTTTTTGCAATGAAAAGAAAAGAGTATTAGACACATGTTCAAGCTCCCAACATAATTTTTAAATGCATTTTCCACTTTGATTTTGCTTGGGATGACATTGAGACAACAGGAAATATGGATAGGGATGCATGTAACAAGAGTTGGTATCATGATAGTTTCAAATGCAGAGTTTTAGATTTGAATAAGAGTCACAAAAATGAGAAATTGCGACTCAACTTGGTCTCGTTCTGCTTGAGACTTGATGCCTAAAAACCCTGATTTGGGAACTGACCGCTTAAAACCTTGGATAATTGACTTAGTGGTTTTAAATGTTGAAAAATGCTATAATAAATTACATAACCAAAACATCTCATTACCTAATGGACACTATTAGTTGCAGCTGCTGAAAGAATTAAACGGAGAAAATTAACTTTAAAATACAAAACTAGTTCTCTACCAGGGGTGTTCAATGTTTTCAGACCAAGGACATCTTAGTTGAAAGAGAGACCTTACATAAAACCCATATATGAATACAATTTGAAGGCCTTGTATTTTTTGTTATTGTCAAATCTAGGGTTTTGAGAAAGTATCTTCCTGACTTTCTTGCCTGTCAGAGCCACCTTGACATCCTAATGTTTGTTTTTACTGCTTTTGATGTTTTTCCGTTGTGCAATCGAGTGTATTCGCTAGTATCAAACCAATACTGAGTTTTTTTATTTTAAGCATCCCTTTCTGGCTCACAGCAATTTCCTTACACAACACGACACAGACATGCAGCTAAATGGTTTAAGAGTCAGCTTACCCTGCGGCTGTCATGCAGAGCTGGGATGTGCATGAACATTTTGGTGTCAGTGTTCGGGACGGGTGTGTGTATGTGGGTGACGTTGGGGTTGGCTAGTTCAGGGTTATCGGGGGTATTTATGTCACCGGCAGACGGGGCTCGGGTCGAGGTAAGATAGACGTTAACTCGGAGGAGCGCAGTCAGGCTCTCGGCCAAACGCTGTCAGCCTAATGCCAGCGAGCGGTCCAGGAGGAACGGCGCAGCATCTGGATAGTCAAGCTCTATTAGCCTCACGGCTCTGTTTTACACCGGCTGCGATAGAGCCTTGTTGACAAATGGCAGAAGAGGTGGTGTGTGTGATATGAATCACATAACTCAGGGGACCTCCACCATGAATATCATACTCCCTTGCTCCCTGATCCCCCCCCCCCCCACCTTCCTCCCTCTGTGGCAGCAGGCTGGATGGGATTCAGAGGGACAGCATTAGCTCCCAACCTTGGTGAAGGACTAAATGCAGCCTCAGCCTGGTGTCCTTGCCGTCACACTGCTGCTGGGAGAAGATAAGCACTCCAGCCTTTAGGACACGCTGTAGGTCTCCCACCGGCCCCCTGCAGCAATGCGAGCTGGGTAATTGCAGAAGCACTCCGCGAATAATTAATTAAGCAATCGTTATATCTGACGCGTGACATGCTACAGTCGTTTCTTGGATAATGTGGGTGGTACTTTTGCGGGATTTTATGATACAAAAATGCAGATTCTGAAGCTGATAGGAGACCAAAGCAATTATTTTTTCTCTCTTCACACTGCGGTCTCACTCTGAAGTTCAGCGTTACAGCTATAACCTTTAAAATGCTGTGTGAACACGCCGATCTGAAATAAAAGACGAAGTAATTTTATCCGGCAGTGGAGGTGTTTACATTTCACATCACATTTAAAGTGTATTCTTCTCTTCTTCTCCAGCAGACTTTAAAGATAACAAACATGGATATTGCCTCTCGTATATATGTAACCCTAACCCTGGACATTTTCACTGCTACAGAGAAAATACTTACCTCTAGAAACAGTCTCGGAGGTGAAATCTGGAGTCTTGGTGATGAATTCTTGCTCCGGCCTTTGAAATCCTTCCTCTGGCTTTTTGGCTTGTCCTTGTGCGGCCTGTAAATTGTTCATAGTGATATATTAAGTAGACGGGTATGGCTGTGTGTGCGAGTATAAGAATTAGGTTTATTTATTGGGTTGAGTTGCTGGAATAAACCATGCAGTGCTATATTTCTCTCAAACACACCGGGGCAGTGAATGATGAAACACACAGGCAGAGGCTGCCGTGGGTATTGATGTGTAATGCCCTTGGACCGGAGCCAAGACGCTGAAATGGAATGAAAGGAAAGCAGTCACTCCCCTGTTAACTCAAGGTTATACTTTACAGGAGCTATATCTGTCCGTGTTGTCAACGGTACGCTTAGTTAATGCGCTCTGTGTGTCCACTGCGACCATAAAAAACATCTAAATCACATCTGTCCGGTGACTTTGAAGATTCCCAATACTTAGTCTGTATTCTTTCCAAGGCTGATGCGCTATGTCATGGCTTATACACAACTTCTGAGCTGGCAGGAGGCTGGCATTTGGCTCTTGCTTGTAAACACTGCCACAGAATGAGCCCTTTAGTGATCGGGACGACTGCCAGCTCATAGAAGTGGCAGCGGATCATCCTCGCTTAATAGGCGCTCATAATCCTCTGTGTCTGTCCCCCGAGAGGAGCGAGACTAAGGCGTGTATTTGCAATCAGAATGCATTAAGACCTGACAGTTTAACTGCCGCCATTACTGTAATAACCCAACCCACTGTTTGCATGCTGAATGGCAGCAAAATGAAAAGTATTTAGTTTTTTACCACTAACAATGTCTGTCTCTTTCTTTCTCTCCTACTGCTGCTCCTCCCTGCTGCTCCTCCCTGCTGCTCCTCCCTGCTGCTCCTCACTGCCACAGGAAGTCGAGGTAAGTGTCTTTTTCAAATGTGTACGTTGGTACGCTGTCTTTGTTTTGATGTTTTCTTTTGGCTGATCTGAACTTCTGGCTGAACCGGTGTAAGTAACATGAGTGTACATGTTATATAACGTCAGTATCTATACATTTTACTTGGAACACAACTAGTCCTTACACACTCATTGCATATATAATATCCTGCTTTATATTTAGTTTACTGTCAATTTGTATTGAACTTGTATATTTTCTACTTTTTAATGCTATTTTATTTCCATTTGAGATGTTTTCATTTGAATTAGTTATTTCTAGTCTTTTAATTTCTCTAATGTACAATGTCTTGTCTTTTTATGCTGCTGTAACGCAAACATTTCACAAATTGGGATCAATAAAGTACATCTTACCTTATCTTATAACTAAAAAGTGAAAACCATTATAACATAGGGACAAAAGACATCAATTGGAAGGTGCAGACCTCCGCAAAGCTGTTTCTTTAGGTCTAAAATACTGCATGAATCTAATTGATCAACATATTCCATCCACATGTATAGCCAAATGCAACCTTCTTCTTCTTAAAAAAGTGGTACGGTCCATATATTAAAATATGTAACAGACACAATCCCTTTAACTCCTCACCCTGTGCGCAAAGTGGACCTATCATGCTATATTTAAATGATATATTGTAGGGCCATACCTATATAAGGTATATTTATACGTTTCTGTTTTCAAAATACCAAACAGATCATGCATTTTAGCCATGCCTCATTTCGCTCTATTTGCTGTTCTCCAGCCCTGTTTTTGCAGGGGGCTGATTCTGTGAGCTGCAGCTGACCACGCCCCCTGCAGGAGAGGGGAACGTGCTCTCAAGTCAGAAGAGGGGGAGAAAAATAGATCTCCGTCCTCCGTGTTTTATTATAGCCTATTATTATATAGAGTCGTTATTAATTTGTTTTAAAGCTCAATAAATAACAAAGAAGACCTTTGACCGGCCCTTTTCTAATTTTGTCCGGAAGATTTAAACTTTAACGGACATCTTGACCGGCGAAAGAAACTGAAACTGAAACTCTGCCGCACGGTCCCCTCGTTCCTTGGAAGAGGCGGAGAGGTGGGTGTTTGTCATCTGCTGGTGGACTAACCGGAGAGAATTACAGTGCTTGCCTCGACGGGGAGGGATTGCATTGAATTAAAGCAGCGGGAGCAAACGCTTGCCTCGGGGAGGGAGAAAAAAAGCCACAGCGGAGAATAAACTGAAGGGTAACCATGGTAACCATGCGCGGGAAGTCTTCTTCACTGCTTTTGTGGCAGACTACAGCGCCACTTACAGGCCTGGCATATGTACTACAGCGTCTCCAGCGCTTTCGAGCGGCAATGGCCGGCCGTGGCCCAACCCCACATTCCCCTGATAGGTGGAGAGTTGGCCCAATAGCCGTAGCGCCACCGTCCTGACGTCAGGACAGTGTTCAAATCTGGATCAGTTTTTATCAGATCGTTTGCAGCCCCTTTTTTAGAGATTTGGGTATGGAGGAAAATAGAGAGGGTTGTGTTTTTTGACACTTGGTGAGTTCCCTGGAACACCGGGGACACATATTCATGTATAAAAGACGTACAAAAGTGCATTTTGCATGATAAGTCCCCTTTTAAGAAGCCTTTGGCTATACTTGTTCAGCTCGACTTGAGAGCTCAGTCCCGGTGTCCCCTGAGCAGAATAACACGGAGCTAAACTGAACAGACCTGATCCTCGGGGTCCTCTCTGGGCCTCGTGCCGAGCAGTAACTGCTTTATAGTTGATCCTCTCCGTCCTCACACTGAGAAATGGGTCAGAATGGATACAGCAGGGGGACGCTGTCTTTTTATTATCGTTTCAGCGCAACACCGCCAGGGACTACATCTAAAAAGCAGAGTTAGTTAGCAAATATTCCCTCTGCAACAGCGCTGCAGCTAAGATAGTCCGAGCCTTTTTATGAGATATATTTATGCTCTCAGTCTTGCCTTTTGCAGTTTTCTAAATGTTAGAGACTACAGCTACAACATCAACCTCATTTGCCATTTATGGAAATATCCTGACTAACTTTAAAGCTTGAGATCGATACCAATCTCATAGCATAGCATAGCAGCTGCTAAGCTTAGCATAAAGACTATAAACAGGTGAAAACAGAATATGTTGTGAAAAGAAATGCTCACAGAAATTGACTACATTTAACTTAACCTTGAGCTTAAATGATTGGTATGTTAATTATCTTTTTAAAACCCATCTGTTCAAAATAAGAGCTGAATATATTTGCTGTAGTTCATGGCATGCAGAGAAGTTTCTGTTATCTTCCTTCATTATGAATTCTCTTCTGAATTCTCATTAAAGGGCCCCATTGTGTTGCCCAAAAGGAATTATGAAATCCATTAATGCAAATATATTTTTCTTTCCAGGATGATTACATCAAAAACATGGAGGAGAACACGGGCTCTGATGAAAGTAAGTGATTTTATCTGATTAGAAAATATTTTATCTGAGGACGATGGCTGTGTGTTGTATTTTCCACCTACATCAGAGTGTATGCTGCTGTAATATATGCAGAGACTTTGTAAAGACTTTTCATATTTAAATGGCTTTACTTAAATGGACAGCTCTACAGCAAAGGAAAAAAAACTGCTGTATTTCAGATTATACCGGCATAATCATTGCTAAGTGCTGCTCGCCTTTATACATCTGCTGTAGACAATGAAATAGTGCGGCGCACATCATCCAAGTGCCGGCTTTTCTTAATTGCAGCAGCAGTCTGAGGTCATCCTGTGTGCGGTGAGCGAGGGTCTTGAGTGTCGCAGGTTCTGGAGGGTGAGAACACAGTTGTGATTCAGGTCTGAGCCTTCAGTCGGATCCATTAGTTTGAAAAGCCTGCTATAATTGCCTTTGTTGCTGAGGGCTCAACTCCAAACTCCCACCAGGCTCCATTTACCTCCATGGGGTCTGTTTCTAGTTGGAGAAAAAATATGTGGCTGTTAGAAAATCAGCTGTGGAGGAGGAATGGAGACTTTGTGAAAATGGTGATCAAAGTCACATTTTCTTTTTGTACTCAACTGATATAAAAGGTGATGATACAAAAGAACTGAAAAGGTGCAAACTTTTTATATCCTAAATGTTTTCGAAATAAATCACAGCATTGAGCCCAGCTATTGAAGCATTTAACAGCGTGTCTTTTCACGGGACAATGTCGGATGCTGGTTTTAGGAAGTGTAGAGTGTTTGCCAGAAAACTGCTGATGTTGTGAAACCTGACTGCTGCTGTGTCACAGACTAAAGTTTAGGTCCAGCTGTGGTATATACTAATAAAGGACTGGCTTATCTAAAGCCAGTTGAGTAGCACTTGAAATGTTTTGGCTCTATGAAACCTGATGCACTTATATGATTCTGTTTTTTTCAAGTTTGTATCTTCTTGGTCGAATGCACTTATTGTAAGTCGCTTTGGATAAAAGCGTCAGCTAAATGCAATGTAATGTAATGTAAACATATTTAAAATACATATGTCTAAAAACAGTTTGCAGTTAAGCTGAACCTTTCCACACTGAACCTAACATGCAGCTGTGCAACTGAACTGCGAATTGTCCAATGCTAACACTTATGAGGTAATGAAGTATGAATAATTTCACAGCTCTTGGTATAAATATAATATTCATACATGTTATTCACACATGTTTTAGCCAATGGAGTGAGCCCTTAGGGGTTAGCAGTGTGTTCCTGCTGCAAGGTGACTGAGTGTGTGAGGTCGGCTTCAGCACCCACACACCCTCACTTAAAAGACTTTGAAGACTCGCCCACAGGAGAAAGATGTAAGAAGAAACTCCAGACGTTATCCCACTCATCTGTTCGTACAACAAGGGGAATAGCTAATGTAGTCTCAAGGAAACGCCTCGCCTGCTGTAGTGTGGGCAATGTTCATTTGAATACCATTGATTTCATCCCTGTCCTAAATCCCACTGGGACTAATTCTGCAGAGTTAATTGATCATGGTCCTCTTTATTGTAAATGTAACCCGACAGAATAAAACTCCAACCATCTGTAACTGTAGGCGAAGAAAGTACCTCCAGTGCTTTTATAAGTGAGACGTCAGCTCGGCTTCAACAACAATAGGCTTGACAATAAGTGTCTTGACATCATATTTTAGCCGATAAATTAAACTTCTCTTATGCCTGGAACCAATTTATTATGACTGTGATTATGCTTCCACTCGTGCAACAACACGAGGAAGTGATTCATAAACATTGTGTTATAAAAATAATCGGAGGTGTTGCATCCTCTTTAATTATAAGTAAATACTTTCATAGCTCCATTGGAGTGGAATAAAAGCTGCTTTAACACAGCGGCCACCAATGAAAATGGAAGGGTCTGCTAAGACGACAGTAATTGCAAATCCAGTTGAAACTAATTTACTTAAAGCTTGTCTCTCGCATGCTTTTAATGTTCATCAGAGCTAAATCTTTTCAGATTCAGACGGGTGCGACTATTCCTTGGCAAGTCTTTTGCGGATTTTCTTTTCTTTTTTCTTTGTCCAGAACCACTGAAGTACTTTATTAAATGCACACTCTGACCATTTGAATGTAAAATAAATTGCTGAAGGCTTTAAATGGAGGATCCTGTCTAACTGGAAGCATAATGTGCTTAATATTATGTTTTAGATAGCAGCATAAGACAATAATAATACAAAGAGATAGGACACAGGCTCATTCCAGTCCCATTTACTTTGCTGACATAATTCCAGGTGGATTTAAAACCCACTATGGCCCTTACACTTCCCAAATGGCAAATGCAGCATGATGTAAACAGCCAGCGATAGAGAAGGCGAGGTGAAAAACACACTCGATCTTCAATGCAAATAAAATCTGGTGTTTAGATTTCACCTCCATATGTAGGAGTTGTATAAGAATACCGTGTGAGGGACGTGTTTGGTCTTAAGCTGTTGCCTGGAGGCAGACTTGATAGATGAAATGACTAAACATGAGAACAATGAGAGAGGTGCACTGAAATTATACTGAAAACACAGAGCGGTGTTTCTATGGGAACTTACTGTAAAGCAATTAAAACATTTATTTTAAAGTGAGTATTTGGGATGTAGGTGCACATCCAACCACCCCTAACACGTCGCTTACTGTATTATGGAGGTCTCTTTATTCTGACTAAATCTCTAAAATTGTGAAGAATAGAAGCACACTAATTTGGTTTCCTAGACAACTTAGAAGGAAAGGAAGCTCATTTTCAACCAATTGCTTTGTTACTGAACATTTGATCAACCCACCATTATCTGTACTGTATATATAAACATAACACCCACATCATTTTCCAACACCTATCCTACAATATATTGACTTTTCACCTTATTACAAATCCATTATATCTGTATATCATCACTAGGCAAGGCAAGTGTATTTATATAGCACTTTTCAACACAAGGCAGTTCAAAGTGCTTTACAAAAAGGAAAGACATTAAGAGCATAAAACACATTAGCAACATTAAAAAGCAAAGATAATAAAACATGAATAACACAGGTACATCAATAAAAGTTACAGCGCAGTGTAAGATGTGAATAGTTCAATTACAAGTAGCGGCCAAAAGAAAGTCTTCAGCCTGGATTTAAAAGTAGTAAGAGTTGCAGGTTTCTGGTAGTTTGCTCCAGATATTTGACAGTATCCCTCGCCAAATTCTCACATTCCTCTACCCCTAGTCTTCCTGTGAAATTATAGTTCTTTTGACAGTTTTCTAACCTTTTTATATTCCTTTCATCCATTTTGCATCCCCAGACAACAAATGTTCCCATGTTTTACTGTTACCTGAACCCATCTTTGACCTTTAAACCACTTTTCTTTTCAATTCCCAGAATTAGGATATTTAAACCTGTTTTAAAACTTCCCTCATGAATCTTTGGACTTCAAACCACTTTTCTAACCACTAAAGTCTTGTTGGCATGGCATTTTTTATACAAACCACATTACCGCTTGGATATATGTGCAATTGAAGCCAAATTAACATATCAACAATCCTCCACCTGATGATATTTCCCCTACAGGTAATTATTAAACCTGCTATAAAATAATCTGAAATGATAATAAATCAAGGCTGCTGTTAGCCAATGAGCATGTTGATATATTATATTTAAATTCAACCTCATGCATGATAATACTCGACATGAATTCGATATGCATAACATGTTGTGTCTCCCTGAACGAGTATATTCTGTTCAGATTCAGATCCGCATGTTCTTTTATAAAACACATAAAGAGCATTGTGGAGCGTTTGTACCTGTGTCTCCCCCCCTGAGTGCTTTCTAGCATCATTTGATTCTTCTTCATTTATTCAGACTGTGTTTGCTCTGCATGGGTCGCTGCACAGTCTGCAGTTGTGGTTTCTATCAACTGCGCCATAAAAAATACAAAAAAAGGCACACAAGAAGGTGATAACAGTTACAAGTATATTACACCACTAAAAGAAATCCATACATTTTGGTTCCCTGCCCCCATAAAGGTTTATGAACCGTGACTGGAGCTGTTGTTAACTAAATGAAATTTTAAACCTTATTCTCTGAAATAAGCCACCAGAAATATATCCTCTCTGGAAGATAAACCAGAAGAAAGCCTGAGGAAAACCTGATGAGTTGAAGAGAACTGATGTGAGTCTGTGCTCTCTTTATTGAAAAGAAATGGTAGAAATGAGAAATGCAGTGACAGTTTAAGGTGATTTGGGGTTTTGTGAAATGTCTGAAATCAAAAGAGAAATAGCAGTGGTACAGTCTGGATAATGTTACACATTCTGAGGGTAAATCATGACAGAGCAGAAGACCTGTTTGAACAGATGAAGTGAATAAAAGTCAAAATGAAAATATTTGATAGGAAATGACATTCAGCGGTATGTCTTTACTCTATTTGCGGAGTCTTTTCTTTTTACCCACAGTGAGGGAAATTTGAGTATCTGTTTCGTAATTAAATGATGATAGACAGCATAAGAATACCAGTGATATCTCACAGGTATTGATTTATCCTTTTATATAACAATTTACTGGTTGTTGCCTTGAATATAGGCCAAACCTTTTGGAACCTGTAAATATACATACAATACACATTTACAATCATGTGATAAAATGCCATATTAATATATACATTAGCAGAACTTAAACAGACGCTTGTGAAGATATTGAAACCCCAATGTTGAAAAGTTACTTGAAAAATAATGCAACATGCTTTTTCTACATCTTTCAGCAGTGATGGAACTTTTTGGGTGTTTTCTTTTTTTGAATCTGTTAACTGCTACATAGTTTTAGGTCCTCCCCTCCAGTACCATGAACAACCATGACCATTTGGGCACAACTGCTACTTACACAACTGTAATTGATATACTATATGTTTCCTGCTACTGTAATATATTGTTGAACAGTCTAAATTGTCTAGATAGAACATTTTATATTGAGGATTATTGTGGTTCATGTCCTTTATACTGTAGATCTATACTGTACATACTTGCTGCTGTTTATTGTTGCTATTGTTATTTTAGTTCATTGTATTTTATTATGTTTATTTTCTCCCACCTTTAAAGATTTCAAGATTTTAATTCCTTTACACTGCTGTTGCAACAAAAATAATTTCCCAATTTGGGATCAGTAAAGTATATCCCTATCAAAAATAAAAATGCTTAGTGCAACAAAGGCTAGCAGATAACAAGCTAGGTAGCTCAGAAGTGGTGCCGACCTTCAACTCTTTATGAACTCCTGCAGTTGAGACTCACACCTGCTCTTATAGAAGAACTATTCCGAGCCCCCTACCTGTATTTCTGGTCTCCCTCCGAGTTGTCATCCACCGTATTTTCCTGCTGTAGCATCAAAGTATCACCTAGTCCCTGGATTTGCAGGAATCTGGCTGGCAGCCACCTGGTCTGTTGACCGTGTTGACTACAAAGCAGCTGCTCAAAGCTGACTCAGGATTTCACAGCTTAAATTTCTCTCTCCATCCGCCACTCAATCTCCAATTTATCTGAGCTTGTGGGTCTTTCCGAGGCCTCTCAAGTGGCTTGGGACTGAGCGACATCTAGTTTTAAATGTCATTGACCAGAGGTTGATGAAGGCGGAAGACACGTTGCTATTTTCATCTCAGTCTGTCATTGGGAAAAAGGTTGGCATTGAAGAGTTCAGCTCTCCAAAGAGGGAGAGAGATTTCTCGGGAGGGAGCGAAGAGGTTAGGAAGAAATGGAGACAAAGATGAAGTGTTTGTGTGAGGGAGAGAAAAAGCAAGATGGGGAGAGACAGTGACAAGTTGACAAGGGGGAAGTGAGATGTGACAAGCAGAGAGAAAGAGATGCTCAATCAGGTCTGTCAGGCTCTCTGGAAATCAGAAGCAGCCTTCAGAGACTGCAGGCAGTGCTAGCAACTAACGCTAAAGACAGCTAGGCGTCCATGTTTTTGCAGCACTGTTATGACTATAAAGTCAATGGACTCATTTGTGCACACTGCCAGAATATTTTTCATTACACATTTCATGATTCTTAGTTCACACGCTGACAAAAGAGGATGGAAGATCGTTTTTTTCCAAATGTATATATTTGATTATGCAACACATAATATAGCTGCCCCCCTTGCTATCAATCTGTTGAGCGGACAAAAACAGAAACATTGACTTTATTTAAATATATTATGTCAACTAATTTCAAATAGCTTTATCAGGTTAGTTGAAAGCAATAATACTAAGTTTAACCTAATATATATTTATTTAAACTTAATATTAGTGTTATTCAATAGTGTTTTTATTTGTCAGACAGTTTATAGATTGTTTATCTTCACGGTCATCTGTATATTTTTCTTTCTTTCTTTCTATTTTGTGATGTTTTTATTTTAGAATTGTTTTATTTCTACTCTTAATTATGTGCAATGCCTTGTTTGTTTTATGCTGCTGCAAAAATGTTTTCCAAAATTGGGATTAATAAAGTATATCTTAGCTTATCTTATTGATTTAAACTAACCTAATACAGTTATGTGAAATCTGTTGACATCATACATTTAATTAAAGTATGTGTGTGTGCTTCCTGTTAGAAGACAAACGAATAACAGCTGGAATCTGTATTCCTTTTTCAAGGAGGTGACAAAAATAGCCAATTAAAGCAAAACACTTCAGCTGTGATTGACACTTTTGGTGATATTAGTGTTGTTTTGTGCTTACAGCCGTTGATACCACCAAGGACCCATGCCAGAATGTGAAGTGCAGCCGCCATAAGGTGTGCGTTGCCCAGGGTTACCAGAGGGCCATGTGTGTGAATCGCAAGAAAATGGAGCAGAGGTAGGTGGAGTCCTAAAGTCCGAGGGGAGGCTTGTTTTGTGTGTCGCTGTTGATGAGATTTCTACGTGGTTCCGGACGGACATTTCTGTCGCGTTGGTGTTAACAGCTGTGCGTCCGTTAAAAGCCTTTCAGTGTCTGCTTGTGAGCGCTATTGATTAAAGCCAGCAACAGGCCCAGAGAGTGTCATGAGTCAGGAGTGATGCCATTTCAGCTCGCACACTCATGCTGAGCACTGAGTAATTAACCAGAAGGTGGGAAAACTCAACGCAGACGGTTTGGGAAGAAAATCATAGCCATCAAAGTTTAATATGAAAAGGAATTGAAAACCTAATTTTGAAAAGCAATCTCTCCTGAATACTTAATAGCACTCAAAATATTTAGCTTAGTTCAATATGTTTAATTTGTGTTACTGAATTTGACGAAGAAAACACACACAACACACATTCATTTGCAATAAAAGAGACAAAACCCAAATTAAATATACCCTAAATAACCCTAACCCTTATTAATATTTTCAAGATAAGATAATTAGATATCATTATCTGCATTTATTTTGGACATGATAATTGGAAGTGAACTTCTGATAAACTGCCTGAAAATGTAAACTGACTATTCACACTTAATATACCAAATAGATGTATATATTGTTGATGGTTTTCAAAATAAAATATTTCAGTGATATTTAAATGTTGTTAAATATTCAGTAGCGATCAAACTTTCTTTAGTTGCTAATACCATGAACATCTTTATGGTCATTATTTCTCCTTGTATGGGTTTACAGGTAAAAACACTACAGTAATGCTCCTATTGGACACATAAGAGAGATGCTAGCCTAATGGGTAACTCTTAATGCCAAGGGTTCATACCTTATGATTCATTAAGGCTTAACTAATACATGACTCATCACGGTCTTATCTAATGCATGATGTATCATAAGCTCCCGCAACTCACTTTTAATTAATAATGAAGCCGCTTCTACTTACTTTAATTACTTAAAAGTGGTTCATAAGTTTGTGAACTCATACATTTATGAGTAGGGACGGAATAAAATGTACATGTTTTAGATGTAACCCAGCGAAAGAGGACAATGTTTTCTCAGCTCAGTGCGTTTGATAATCGCACTGATAATCCATATTATGTATGTGTGCATCTTCTGCAGTATGAAACTGTGTAAATGTGCACTTTGTCTTTGTTCATTCATTCAGAGTTGCCTGATCAAACCGAGGCTTGCATTGTGTCCATGTCTCATTTTATGGACTGAAAATACAAGCAGCTAATAGATAGAAAAACATCAATGTCAGCCTTCTAGTTGAAACAAGTTTGCACGGCTACAATATATAATAATATAAATATCAAAACAAAAGGGACTTCAAGTGTCCAAACTCTTCTAACAATTTCTAACATGTCCGCATATAAATGTACTAAAATTCAAAACATAATATGTTGTTAAAGTGTGTACTTAAAAATAATCCCAAATGTTTCCAACAATTTTCCAACACACAAAAGTCGTAATGTTAATAAAGATAACAGTCTTTTTAATTTCACCTGTAATGATTTTGTATCCCCTTTATGTCAGTGTTGAGGAGGTATGCCAGAAGCCGTGATAAATCTGCTTTTAAGACAGCATTAAGAGACATTTTTACAATACACTTTAAAAGTTGTTTGTTTTTAAATATATACTTTAACAGAATGAAAGATTTGAATCATTGGAAGTCTGGATCTTATATTATCGAGTAACAATCTGAGCAAAGGGTTGCTGCAGCCGAACAGCGTAGCAGAAACGCACATTCGTTTTTGTTATCAGTTTGACTAACAATATCAACATTTGTCTCTTAAAACCTCCTGAACTACTTGATCTTGTAAGTTATCAGAGACACAAGCTGAGCAGACTTTAGTCACAACTTGGCTCGCGGCCAGCAGCATTGAAAAGCACAGACTTTATTTGTGAAACTGCTTTGATCAGTGTTTTTACTGTTTTAATTACCTGCTCCACTCTATTGTCACTAAGAAACAGCACATACATGTGAAATGCAATGTGTGCTTGACCCCCTAAATACTTTACTAAGCTACCCATGTTGATAATAGGCCAGCTTTAGAGGAGAGGTTGTCAAAAGTTATCCAGAAAAAGCTTTTGGTATTTCAAAAGGTACACCTAATCTTCAGTAATTCAAATGCTCTTTCCCTTTCAGTTTTCTGTGTTGAAACTCACTGAAAATAATCTATCTATTCCTTCACTTCATTTATTCCACTTCGACTGGAAAACAAATGAGCAGGGCTGCAGTCTGAAAAGAATTAATGGAGTGAATTATTACTACCTTCAAAGACTATCTGCTGCAACAGGCATTTATCTTTTCCAATAAAGTGCTTCATTTACAGAGTCCCTCCAGAGATGAGAGACACTGTGTGGAATAATGGGTAATAAGCAGGAACGCAACCACACTAAACCATCCCGGCATCATTATGTAGCACAGCCTCCGACGTGGTACTGCGGAGCGTAATGCTCATTGAACATCAAGTCAATCACCGTGCGATAAGAAAGCAAGCAAGGGGATTTTACCAAGCAGAGGCAAGAAGTCAATTCTGGTTTTATTTACCCAACATGGTAGATATAAGCCTCTGAGGTGCCTTTTGCCATCCCATTACAGTGAAAGCATTCATTGAAAAAATGGTCTTCCCCAAACAGTTTCCTGTTGCATTTAATTTATTTTCCAGGTTATTTTGTAGAAAGCAACTTACAATACGTCAATTTTAACTGGACAGGAAAACGGTAATGGAAGTTTATCCCTCTCAAACAAGCAACCAACAGCATGTTCAGTGCTTCAGTGCCAAGGCTAGTTTTGGGTTTGGTTTTTATAACAAGGAAAAAAACAAGTTTGAAGTCAAGATGTTCTTTGAGTTTTTTAAGCCTTGCCGTTAAGGCGATCTCATGTTACACCATTTAAAGAATTTCACAAACATCCACTTGGACTTCATTGGAGATCACTGTGACCTTGTATTTTGTCCCAGAACCCAATGATTCATATGCTGATTATACAATTTCACACCACTATCTAAAAGAGTAGAAGGATGAAGTGATAACATTTTCCTGCATCCTGACAGGTTGGTGGAGACATATAACTGTGTCAGTAATTTTTGTTTGGCTAAATGTCTTGAACAGTTTTGGATAGTTTGCCACTGGTGATCCCTGAGTTTTCCATTTTATCCTGTTTTCACGAAACTGTGTCTCAGGGCTTCTTAACATTTAACAACCTATTAATGTGTCATACCCACTTAACGGGAAGAAACTCAGCTAACTGACAATATGAACACAGAACTCATGGTAGAAATACTTTATTACTTATCGGATCTGCACAAACAAGATATCAGCTAGCAACATCACACAACGTAGCTTTACGGAGCAAAAACGGAAAATAGTCTTACCTTTGCTGATTTTCTGATCAAAAGTTGTGTTCAATGGCTTTAAAAAGATAAACACGCTGCTGAAGGTTAATCCAATGTGTCTGTGTCACTTTGAAATGATTACTGATAATCCATCATTCCATTTTTGTAAAAACCGGAGATTTCATATTAGCTGTTATTAGCACTATTAGAGCTACAACCCAGTTTCCGGTTTTGGGCATTCTGGCTACGCATCACTCATTCACCAATGGGTAATGTTTAGATGGATTTTAGGAACTTCCCTCTCGATTCTATTGGCTCTAACGGTTCAAAAGATGTGTCAATCATCAAAATCGACCGAGGGGGGCCAGAGATATGGAAAATGCACCCAAATGACCCCAGAAGTGTTTTTTTTCTTTTTCTAAATCTCTCTAAAAAGGTAAAATATCACTTGTTTTACATCAATCTTGATACAGGGTACTTATTATATGTTATAGTTTTGATTCCTAAAGCTTTTAGTCTACTATCCCATCATTAAAGGGTGGTTTTCACTATAAGTAATGTGTTTTCTTTTTGGACGGACACTATCATTTACACTTTTTTACTATGTTCAATCTGAATTTACTTTCAAATAAAAAGGTTCTATATTGATTCTGACTTTTCTACATCCAACTCACAGGTTTATCATTGCTTTGAGAAAAAAGATTATTAATTTACCCCTTTTAGAAGTGAAGTTATAGTCATTTGTTGAGACCTGAAAAACAGGCTCAGGGGTTAACAGGTTAATATGTCCAATATTTTTGGTTGATGACCAAATACCTGCAATAAGGTAATGACCCTCCCATGAGCTGGAGCTTTACTTTGTGTTGCCAATTAACAAAGTTAGAATGCTAACACGCTTATATAAGGTGTTTAAAATGGTAAACAGGAACGGAGTACGCCGGGCTCGGTAGATTTCCAAGTATGCTGGAGATTGGAACAGTACTTCGGCGGCACTCAATGACGTAGTATGCTTGAAATAGTGGCTCTGCAGCAGCTTTACTCGCGATTGAGAAACACCCTTACCTAGTCTTGTCTTCCCCCTGTGCTCCATGTCAGTTCGTTGTATTTTCTCACTCTCCATGTTTGTCACTTACCTCATGCTACCTGTTTATGATTAACGTTTTTTTGTCTTGTTTTTTCATGCCAACAGCTTTGTTTAAATAAAGCTCGCTTTTGTTTTGAAACCCGCTTCCCTTTTTAACTGCATTTGAGTCCTAATATTCCCCATTCCTGACACAAAATCCCATTGACCTCCATTGTATTCGAGTGGCATCCACATGACAGATATCCTAAAAACCTTAGAAAATATATCTATCTTCCTTCTTGAGGTAAAAATAGATTTGTTATCTTTTCTGTGTTTTGTGTAACTTTTCCTTTTTTCCTGTCACATTCAGAGTCAAACAGTCGGGCCAGCAGGAGGCTTCTGAAAGCAGCTGCAAGCCTTGTCCAGTTACTGCCTCCTCACCTGTATGTGGCTCGGATGGACACAACTACGCCTCTGAGGTAATAGAAATGATTCTGCACTGGAATCTCACTTTTACATTTTACTTGGGTCATTTTACTTCTGCTTTATTACTAGATTCGGCCACCATTAAAACCCTGAAAATAAAGCGCCTGTGTCATCGTTTTAAATAATGAGAGGAGTCCAGTCAGGAGCTGTTTCCTGCTGCGCTGACATATACGTGGACGCAGCGGGGCGGCACACTTCATCACTGTTCACAGGAGGACGCTCACCAGCTCAACATGGCCGCATGATTAATGACTAACGTTGTTTTGAGCTGCATCATCGTACGCTGTCCGCTGCCAGGACTCCTTATTGATTTATGTATAGTTTTTAATTTTGACCTTGCAGGAGAAAACGCTGAAGAAATGACAGCTCATTCTTGCAGCCTTTCCCTGAGTGCAGCGTCTCATCTGAATGAGCAATCCCTCTTGTCACCTTCATAAATATTTGAACTGCATCTCTCTGGTTCTCTTCACAGTGTAAGTTGGAGCAGCAGGCCTGCCTCGCCGGCAAAGAGCTGAGCATCATGTGCTCTGGGTTCTGCCCCTGTGCCACTGCCTCCGTCACCCTCACCAATATCGACGCAAAACGTGGCAAGTGACCTTTTCCTTACCTCTTATAAATATGCATCGTTATTTTAGGGCTTCACACCTCACTGCCTGTATCCCTGTCATCTCTTTTATCCAGAGTAAGAAAAAATACACATCTTTTAAGGTTAAATTGTACACTTTTCAGATGATGCTATGCTACTCTTACAATCAGAGGTGGATAAAGTACTCGGATCCTGTAGTACTTAAGTTGTTTACTTGAGTAGAAGTACAAACGTTTTAGTGTCAAAATGTAATTAAAATACAAAATGTTAAAGTACTCATTCTCATTCTCACAATGACCCTTTTCAGTTAGAACAGAAGTATTATTATGATCCAAATGTACTTAAAGTACCAAAAGTAAAAGTATGCAGAATGGCTCTGTTTTATCACTTGTACAAGCATTTCAATCTTCTAGTCTGTCAATGTGGAGCTGTTAAAAATTACATGATCTATATGTGGTAAAGTACTACATTACAAATAAGCATATAGTGTTTTTTAATATGTAAAAAGTAAATAGAGTGGTAAATAAATGTGGTGGAGTAGAAGTATATGTCGCATAAAATGTAAATACTCAAGTAAAGTACAAGTATGTCCAAATCATTCTTAAGTATGATACTTAGTGACTTTTCACCACTGCGTACAATACACTGTTTTTCCTGTATATTACATTTTAGCTTGGCAAAGATTTATTCACAGCCTCTTTGTGGCCTATAAGTCAATGTACTTTTAATAAAAATGTTAAGGATCATTTAGAATTATTTTGTTTAATTCTCCATTACTTCAATGTATTTTCTTGTTATTCCTTGTTGTTCCTATGGTATGTGAGACCCCCTTTAAACACAAACTGGTTCATCTCCTTATGGATAAACTTTAACAAGCCAACACACAGCATACCGTCAGTCGGATCAACCCAGTGCTGCATGTTTGGATCAATACTCACCAATTTCAGAGATTACTGTTAGCCAAACATCTCCCATGTGGTTAAACTGCTCTTTCAATCATGTGGTGATTAATTATTTAGAGTGTACACTATCTATCATTGCAGTCAAACAGCATTGATTGTCCAAGCTCTCGGGCACATAAAAATGCCAATTGATCAAAGGGTGAAATGTTACTCTTGTTTTTCATCTGTAGCCTGGAATACAGACTGCAAGTGGATTTCTATCGGGAAAACAGCATTTCCCGCTGATGAGTTAATTGCGAAATAATGTTTTATTTGAGTGGCAGATCATACACTTAAAAATGACAGCAGGAACATTACACTTTGACAGCTTTACAGTGAGGGAGCGCTGTGCCTTTGATTCAGTAAGAGCAGTAGGAAGCCTCTCTGTAGGGAAGGTGAGTCAGATTGCTGTTAAATGTCTGGCAAAGTTTTGAATGCTGGGATTTCCTTTTTTATTTTGCTCCCTCAGCGAGCTGCACCGGCCAGGACCTGGCAGACCTGGGCGACCGCCTGAGAGACTGGTTCCAACTCCTGCATGGAAACGCAAAGCAGAATAACTCTGGCAAGCTCAGAGCTGGCACTGCTTCAGGTTAGAAACTCACAAAGCGGCTTCATACTCAGAATTACAACTCAATTGCCCATGCAAATAGATGTAGTACAAACAGAAACAACTTAAAGGTCACCTATTATGCAAAATCCACTTTTTCATGTCTGTGTAAAGAGATTCTGAAAGTTTCAGGAAAAAGGTTCGCTCACTTTTTGCCCTGATCCATTTATATAAAAACCTGTTTGAAAATGAGCTGATCAGATTTTGGCCACTTTATGATGTCATAAGGATTTTTGGCTTGTGTAACCATTAGCCAATCACCAACCAAGGTAACACCCCCCACCTTATCACCTGAATCTCCTCGTAGAGCACCATTGTGTTATTGTTAACCAAATATCTCTCAGAGGGGCGTGGGGAGTGGCTCCTTATTTTCATCTAAAGTAACAGACAGAGAATCAGCACTTTTGAAACGGGGCTGAAACAGAGGGGTTTGTGGGATGCTACAATGCATGATCTGTTTGGTATTTGGAGCCAAACACTTCAGAGACATGATTTGTATATATCTGAGACCTATAATATATTGATGAAAAACAGTATAATAGGGGACCTTTAAAAAGCTTGGAAAATGGTTTCTTACAGTGCTGGATAAGAGCCTTGTGGCCAGTTGCAAGGACTCCATTGGCTGGATGTTCTCCAGGCTGGACACCAACAGCGACTTGTATCTGGACCAGGCTGAGCTGGCCGCTATTAACCTGGACAAATACGAGGTCTGCATCCGACCCTTCTTCAACTCCTGCGACAGCTACAAGGATGGGAAGGTCTCTACGGCGGAGTGGTGCCTCTGCTTCTGGAGAGAAAGTAAGTGAAGGGATCTCCCCAGAGTCTTTTTGGGTTGGGTGAAAGAATAGCAAGGTTATATCACAGGGAAATAGAGAGGATGCAATGATCACCTGCAATTGCTGCTGTGAAAGGGGATAAACAAACAAGTATATTCATCTTGAAGCTCGACACCAGAGAGAACTAAGTATAAGGCTAGAATCAGGATGCTGTTTGCTTAGCATAAAGCCTGGAAGCAGTATTGAAGGAGCTATTTTGTCTGAAATTCAAAAGTACAACTTCAAAATAGTTTCAGCACTTTACTTCTCCTTAACACACAAGCTGCCATTTTACATTTATTGTTGTTAGAGGCTTAAACAAGGGAGCTACATTGGATTTTTTTTTTTTTTTTTGGAGAGAGCAAGTGAGCTGTCTCCCCCTATCTCTTATGCCTCCGTATTTATCACTCAGATGTGAATGTGTGATCAATCTTTTATCAAACTCCTCTCTGCAAGAAAGAAGTATTTCTTTATTCTGACAGGCTACAGGCTATTAGAACAAAGCAGGATTTTTTTTTAGGCCTAAGCAACATCTTCAAAGGTTTTCTCTTCAACCTTCGGCAGTGTCTACAAACTTATGCTATCCATTCTGTCTATTTTCCACCTGCGCATATCAAGGTCTGACATTATTCCCAGACACGATCAGCAGCTCTCCCCTCCTGCTGGGCAAGTCCTCCTTTATCTGAGTCATCTGAAAGTCTGCCAGAATCCTTCTCAAAATGTAAAGTCCTTCTTCGCAGCCTCACTGAACGCACATAGTCCCATCGTATTGTCTCTCCCCTGGGCCAGAAAGTCTCACAGCTCTTGTTCCGTCCATCATTGATCTTTGGCCTCAGCCGTTCTGGTACCAGGTTTTTGTAACTGTGCCTGAACACGGTGTTCCCTGTGGACAGTCAGTCCCTGATCGGCACATAAGTCCAATAACAAAGCATCATTTAGTTCACATCAGGCACGCTGTTCCTTTCAATCAACCCCCTTCTGGTTTCCCTGGCAATTGATTTTTTGGTTCAACAGAAAGTATTGTTTTTCCTCTCTGCAAGATGCGGCACACGGAAGCAACTGCAGTGCACTCAGAAAGTATTTTATGAATTTTAGTTTGAACACAAACTCCCCTAGGCCATTACTGAATCATAACCCTTTTCTTTCCATGTCATCTTGTTTTCTTTACCTATTTAATTTCGATTACTATTATTTATTTATCCCCCAACCGCCTAGTCTGTGTATATATTTGAAAGAGCGTGAAGTAGGCCTATGTATTATTGCTAGATAGTTTTGTTGTTTGTTTATTATTTTATTAAAGATTGGAAACAAAAAGTCCATCAAAATCTAGGTTAATCGAGGTTTACATCTTTCGCCTTTTGTCATGTTGCAGTCTTTAATTAAATGTGATCCTTCATCTACCTGCTCTCAAATCCCCATAACGACAGTGTAGAAGCAGCATTTTAAACATTTTCAAAAGAGAAATATCACATTGATATGAGTAATCAGACCCTTTGGAAATCTAGCTCAGGTGCCTCTAATTTCCCCTGATTGTCTTCAAAATGTTATTACACCTTGATTTGATCCCACCTGTGGCAAATTCAGCTGATTGGATGTGATTTGAAGAGGCAGGCACACACACACACACACACACACACACACACACACACACACACACACACACACACACACACACACACACACACACACACACACACACACACACACACACACACACACACACACACACACACACACACACTTCGGCTTTCCTAATGCACCGTATCACATGGAAAATACGTTTTTTATAAATGCGTGTTCAGCATCAGGTTTGAACAATCATCTGACTGGGTTTTGGAGATGTTATGTTCAACCTCTGTACTAGTACTTTGTGACCTTTCATGAAATAATATACCCAGATCTAAACTTATTCTACATGGTTGTAAAAATTCTGGTTTGATTCAATGATGGTTAGAAGTATTAAAGGTAGGGTAGGTAAGTTTGAGAAACCGGCTCGAGTGCGCTAGAATTTGAAAATACACAACCGGAGAAAATCTGCCACTTCCTTATAGAGCCCCTCCTCCAACACACACGAACGCGCACATGACCAAAGAGGGCACGAGATAAGTTTGTGCACAGATGGAAGGCTGACAGGCAGGTAGGCCATCCAGTTATTTTAGCCGGGCCGGCTAAAATGATTGGTCGTACTTTTTACAGTACTACGGCTTCCACAGATGACATTTTTGTATGGATTTTTTGTCAAAGCACTTAAGATATTCATTGCTATCGGGATGTTAAGAGCATTCCATGGAATATAACAAAGAGTGTATCTCGAGCCGGTTTCTCAAACTTACCTACCCTACCTTTAAATGAAAAGCGTGTTACATTTGTTAGCTGTATAGAAGCTGAACGCCTGGGTTACATGGTGAACTGGGTTAAAAGAAATGTCAGGCAAAATTATCATAGAATTAATCTAAAAAAACATGGTGTTCTTTTGAATCCTCTCTTAGAAATTAAAGCTTACTTTTGAAGCCCTGTCCCTGACATTTCATGCGCAGTTCATGCTGTAAAATTGTGAGGCGTCTCTGGATAATACCTGCACTCACAGGGCTTTTTCAGCTGGCGAATGTGCAGCATCTGCACCGCTTGACCTTTACTGAACAAATGCAGGATATCTCCGGCAGTAACCTCATTTGCACACGGATCTCTCCATTGATCAGGCATTTAACCTGCATGCAATAGATTACACTGACTGCCTAATCCATTTTTCATTACTTGCTGGTGGTATTTATAAACCATTAAGTGATAATGGCTTTATGATAATGACTTGGAACAGTACGTCGCGCTACATGTATAGAAATGATTACACTTTAACAAGCCTTCCCCTTGACGTCTCGGAGATATGAGTGTGAGTTTTCTGCAAACACAATAAAAATGCTGTGAAATGTACAAATACTGGGCAAGATTTATCGCCTTGTGGGTCAATATAAAGTGTCTCTCAGTTTCTATTTGTATCTCTCTTCTTGAGGTTCAGCTCATTTCCCTGTTATTCTCTGGCTACATCCATATGTTCTTTCACCAAAGCTCCCCGCGATCGATCAGGCTCAGAGGGAAGGAAATATAAGACTTCTTAAACAAATCAATACGGGCACAAAAAAAAGTGCAATTATAAAGATCATTGACTGAGATAAAGTTTTGGGATAGCAGTTTATGTGATTGCCTGTCATCACTTTCTTGTGTTCAATTCTCACAGAGCCGCCATGCCTCGCAGAGCTGGAGAGGATCCAAGTGCAGGAGGCGGCGAAGAAGAAGCCTGGTACGTTTTTCATCTATCAATTTAACACTGCAAGATTAAAATGTATTTCATTGTTACACAGCGCATTTGCGTAGGAACACCTTTTGGACTCGCTTCAGATCCCTTCAAAGCCACACAATGACATAGTGTTAGCCTTAAAGTGCAACATCAAGCCGGCGTGTGCCCCCGCACTCGCTCTGCGTCTTTGGGTTACGTAACACGGCCTGGAGCAGCAAGCGAGAAGCTGGAGGAGGCTCATTTAATAGATCACAAGCGCACGCCCCGGATTAGGTCCTAATCAGGCCGGGGGGGGGGGGGGGGGGGGGATTAGAGGGCAGCGCCGGCTTTAGGAAAGACCGAGGCTAACTCCCGTTTGGCTCTCTGAGAAACCTGTGTCTACCCAGCATGCCACACATCTGTTTTCACTCTTCAGCTTGAAAACCAGAGATATATTCCTCCATCCCCAAGGCCCACTCGTCTCAGTGCTTGTGTTTCTTCCAGTTTTCACGGTAGTGGAAGGAGCTTGTTAGAGAACTTCTCTTTGCGTTTGACAAGAGTCTCCTGAGGGATTCTGGAACAGTGGCGCTCTGTCAGCGAGGCTGTCACGACATTTTTACACGCCACTCTGGCAGCATAAGGAAACACCAACACGCTGAATGAAATCACATCCAGCAGCATATGCATGCCTGTGTAAAACAAACAGGGACGCTTCCTCTGTCTCCCCGGTATTCTCTGCCAAATATCTATCCTGACTGATGGTTTTATCACAGGTTCACTAAGGCGTGCTGGCATTCTAGTTTATGCTGGCTCATCTCAGGCATCAGCATGAGGCAGCTTTGTGAGCTGAGAGTATAAATATTTAACAACAAGGCGTGTGTGTGTGTATGTGTGTGTGTGTGTGTAGGGATGTACATTCCCAGCTGCGACGAGGACGGCTACTACAGGAAAGTGCAGTGTGACCAGAGCCGAGGGGAGTGCTGGTGTGTGGACCAGCATGGTGGAGAGATGATGGGCACCAGAATCCATGGCAACCCAGACTGTGGTAAGAGAGGCAAACAGATATTTTCACAGTGTAACCAGCATGACGTCTCCTATTCTCAAAGTTGTGTTCTGTCTGTAATTGAGACCCTGCAGTTATATTTTCTTAAAAACATGAATATTTAGTTAGAAGTGCTGTGAGATGTAATCTAGTTTCCAATGTATTGTGTTTCAGGTATTCCTTTTTTAAAGGGTACATATAAGGCACATTTTAAGGTCTATACTTGCATTTTTTTTTTACTAGAACATTGTACCTGCCTTAACCCTGCCTTATTGTTGGAAAAGCAATTTTTTTTCTATCATACATACCTGTATTCATCCTTTGTATGAAACGCTCTGTTTTAGCACCTGTCACTCACGAAAAAGTCCCTCTTTTACAACCTTTAAATCAAGGTTCATTGTTCTTTATAATAGCACTCACATGCCTTACGCTTCCTTATCTAAATAATAAAGATAGGCCTATCTCCCAGCTAATCCAAACATGTGCAAAGAGGTGGAGTGTGGGAGAAGCCGAGACAGGCCTGGGTGAAAATGGGTTAGTTGTATAAAAATGTACCTCATGTGCAATTGTCGTAAAGAGGGAAGATAGCTAAAGGCTAAAAACCAAAACTGTCTTTTCTTATTCTGCTGTAAAGTTGGGTTTTTAACATGGGGGTATAGGAATTGACTCACTTTTGAGCCAGCTTCCAGTGGCCATTAGGTGAACTGCAGGTTTTGGCTTCATTTCTCAGCTCCAGAAGAAATGTTGTTAGCAGAAATACAAAGTGATTCCTCGTGTATTAATCATTTTCCAGATGAAGTGGCAGGATATTCTGGAGATGTTGGAAGTGGAGTGGGATGGGAGGATGAAGAGGAGAAGGAGGTAGATGACACCGGAGAGGAGGCGGAAGAGGAGGAAGAGGAGGAGGGCGAGGCTGACGACGGAGGATACATCTGGTAGAACTGTGTGACCCCACGCAGAGAGCCGAGTCACCGCCGCTGGCCTGAAACTCTGCAGGGACGGCTCTCTCCTCGCAGATAAAGATTTTGGGATTGGACGAGGGGAGGCATGGAGTTGTGTTTCATCCCGGTGGGATATGTGGTGCTCGGCAGGTCCAGGGATGAGACGATGACCAGTTGTTGTCTTAGATATGTGTAATTGCTTCATTCTCTTGTCTCTGTTTTTTTGAGCAACAGAGCATTTTGTGTTGCCGTCCTTCAAAGCAGGACCCACTGACTCCTGCACCATAGGTAGCTAAAGCCCATCAGAAATCCTCTCTGTCCGACCGCCATCTATGCATAGAGATTACCAGTCATTTTGTAATGTGTGAACAATTGCTTGGTTATTAGAGCTGCCGTCCCACTAGAACAACTAGAGATCAGACTTTAAAGGATAAGACTGACATTTTGGGGGAATGCTTGTTTGCTTTCTTGTCGAGAGTTTTAGGAAAAGCTTCTTGCCTCGCTAGCCTTCTGTATTTGAAGTTAAAGCAATGAGATGCCAAGATTAGCTTAGCATAAAGACTGGGAATAGAGGGAAACGGTTACCTCATTTTAACAAACAAAACAGACCAGCCAGAACTTCTAAAGCCCACTAATCTTATATCTCAGTGGTTTATTTCATACAATAACTACATTGTGAATATACAAATGTATATTGTTTTTACAGTTTATGTACAGATGAAACAAACCAGATGAATCAAAGTTAATAATGGAGATTAAGATTAAGCAAGCACATTTGATTACCTTAAAACAGAGCCAGGTTATCGCTTTCTCCTCGGTTCAGTCTTTTGTGGATCAAACGTCACTGTTGTGTTCATTTGTTTCGGCTGCCCTTAAGAGGCCAATCATTATTGCAGCTGGTGTTTCCTGGTTGTGGATGAGTGTCCAGACAGAGTTGTATTGATCTTTTCATCTCTCTCTAAATAGATCGTATAAAAGCGTATTTCCCAAAATGTCAAACTATTCCGTAAAAGCCGTTTAATGCAATGTGATGTATGTCAAGGCTGATTCTGTATATTAGTCCATTGGAAATGATCTGTGAAGCGAGCTTAGAGGGTTTACGGTTACTATGGTTTCCATTTATGATAAAGATGCTCCATAGCTCATAGCAGTTTTTAAAACGTACATGCTTTAGGAATTAAGTGGATACACTCACCTACACAGGACCTACATTTCAAGTTGGTTTACTTTGATTGAGAACCTGTAGAATGTACTTAAATGGCCCAAACTGCACCTACAATAGAAACCACTAGTCGCTGAAGTCATGTCAAAGAATGTGCCACAACTATGTTTATTATGATTTTGCAACTTGACAAAACTGTATTTTGTGTTTATATATATATATATATAATTATATAAAAAAATGTGTGCATTACTTGAAGTTATGTGTGTATACTTGAATTCACATTGTACTTTTTTTCTATGAGAATATTGTTGCCATGTCTTCATTCATGCTATTGATAGACCAGACATTTGGTTGTTTTTAGTATTGCATGTTAGTAAATAAGAATGTACTTCTAGGCTGAGCACTTTACTAATAAAGGCACTGGAGCCAAAATGTATGTTGACCTCGATCTGTTCCTACTATTGTCACCCGGAGAGAAATTACGTTGACTTTGTGGCTCCTTTGCCTTCCTCTTTATTTAAGGACAAATATCTTTGCAATGATCCTATAAAGAAGAAACACTGGAAATGTAATCAATATGTTTTTGGGTCAGGAGGGGATATATATATATATCACCTCAGCAGATCCACTCAAATTCAGCTAGGGTGCTAAAACTGATTCCATTTGCAGTAACGCTCCCCAGCCATGCCTATAAATCCCAAGCTAGTTGTGTAATTATGATTATTTTAGAGAACAAAACTACTTCATTATGACCTTTGGGTCTGCAACCTGGTGTGTGAAGCAATAACTAAATACTGAAGCTTATCACAGCTAAGTCCAATTACAGCCTGCTATTAAATATGATTACATCATGTACAATCATGAAGCCTGCAGTGGAATAAAAACAAGAAGTTGCAGCTTCCTCTCAGTTGACTCTTTAACAAGCAGATGGAGGTATTTGCTGGAGATACTCTGGAGCTCAGCTGCCACCTCATGCTAGAAGACCAAATGACAGCAGAGTGGCTGCCAGAAAGCATCCCACGTAATGACCACGATGTGAAAGACAACACTGTCAGAGGGCATGTGGATGATCAAATCTGCAAAGAATGGATATGTGCCAGTTTACCCAAGTGCAATCGTACAGTCACAGTAAAGGTCCTGGGGATATTTCCAGCAGTAAGAGCCTAAAAGTAATTTCTACACTGACAGGAAGCCAGTGAAGGACAGCAGGGATTTTGAGTAATGAGGTCACTTCTCATGGAGGGTGTTAAAAGCCTGGAAGCAGCCCTCTGCGATAACTGCTGTTGGTTGATATTGCAATAAAACAAATTATAATTAAGCCTGGAGATAAAAGCATCAACGACTAAGAATGAAAGTAACATTTTAGCCAAAAAGACATGATTGCATTACATGAGTATCCAAAAACATCTCAATTACAAATTACTCCAACATTACTGAAGAGCCATCCTGACTTTGACTTTACATATGTATTTAACGTTTAATCACAGTCAATGTTAACATATTTTTGTACTTTAATGTCAACTTGAAAAAAACAAAAAAACAAACATGTATCAGTAACATAGAACTGGAATGTATCAGTATCTATCAAATGTTTTAGTTTTTCTTGCTATTTTAACCAATATACCAACATAATTATTCTGTGTTTATGGTTGTCCTTTGGAGAGAGTAGTTTACACGATGACATTTTAGTCAAAAGAAAAACCTGATTAAATGCATTCTGTGACAGATTAAACATGAAAAGGTGAAACGGATGAATTATCTTTATAGTCTCTGTAACAAAGTGTTAGCGCTAAAGAGTGACTATAAGGTGGAACTTAAAGGTCACCTATTATGCAAAATCCACTTTTTCATGTCTTTTATACATAAACATCTCTGTGTTGAGAGATAGGGAACATTTCAGGAAAAAATATTCTCTCTTTTTGTCCTGATCCATTTCTATAAAACCTGTCTGAAAATGAGCTGATCAGATTTTGGCCCCTTTGTGATGTCAGAATTTATTTTTTGGCTTGTGCAACCAAAGCCAATAACCAACCAAGGTAACACCCGCCCACCTTATCTCCTGAATCTCCTCCTAAAGCAAAATGTTCTGTGTTTTTTCAAACCAATCACTTGGCAGAGGGGCGTGGCCAGCAGCAGCTCATTAGCATTTAAAGCTACAGACACAGAGGGTGTTTCTCAATCGCGAGTACGCTTGCTTGGTAGCACATGTCTGCCGAGCATCTTGCTTCAGAAGCGAGGCAAGAATACTTCCTGCCATTCGGAAAACAAAGAGTGGAACACGCTAGCAAGTGTGCAGGTGTGCGTCATATGAGAGGCCCCGCCTTACATCTTCCGCCACAGATTTGGGGAAATTGGTCCGTGCGCAAAGCATTGTGGGGATTTTAAGACCGCGAAGTCTACTCATGTGCAGCCTCGATATTTCTCCAAACGGAGTACGCCGGGCTCGGTAGATTTCCAAGTATGCTGGAGATTGGAACAGTGCTTCGGCGGCACTCGATGACGTAGTATGCTTGAAATAGTGGCTCTGAAGCAGCTTTACTCGCGATTGAGAAACACCCAATATCAGCACTTTTGAAACAGGGCTGAAACAGAGGGGTTTATGGGATGCTACAATGATCTGTTTGGTATTTTGAGCCAAACACCTCAGAGACATGTTTTGTATATATCTGAGACCTATAATATATTGTTGACAAAGATAATAATAGGGGACCTTTAAATGAAAATACACATATCTTAACAAGTGTTAACCACAGGGGTTTAATTGGGGTTATAATACAAAATGACACATGGCCAGATGAATCCAAAACAAGGTCTGTTTTATTACAACATGTAAACCACTCCTTATTATATATGCATGTATGCATTATGTCATTCAAACTATTTGCACAGATAATTGCAGCAAATATAATTTTTAATTAATCTGCTATAAATAAATCCAGTGCTTTGTTAGTGTCGGCTAATATGCAGCTACTGTACAAACATTTACATCTGTATTATACATCATTTACAGGAGTATAGCAACGGGTACAGAACACTGTTCAAATGGAAAGCTGTTTGTTTACATGCATTCTATACACATTAAAGATTCCCTGTAAACAAAAAGGTTGTTCTTATTATCTTAGTCACAAACATCCCTGCGTAAATAAATAAGCAGATCATTCAAAACGTTACTCTGTAAACATGATGCAGGAAACAGTTAATGCGAATCAAACGTTTGTTCCACATAATCCATTTCCAGCTTTTCATGTGGATACACATTTACACAGGGTGTTGTAAAGGTGTATCCATGTTTACAAAGACTCAAACATCCAGAATAAGAATATTAATTTAGCACGTTTGCAAATGCACTCTCATATCTTTTCAGATAGTCAAAAAGTGCATTACCTGCAGCACTGCTGAACCACCTACATGCTGATTACATGCAGATTGCTCAGGCTGTGGATTAAAAGGAATAAATACAAAATAATAATAAATCGTTACAATTAATGGGCTCAGAATAACTTTCCTACTCTCAAATACAGGAGGAGTAAGATTGTCTCTGCGACAGTACACTTAATCATTCTACTTTATTGCTTCCAGACATTTTTAAAGCAATATGTCATGACAGACTTAATCATATATTAAAGCAAGAGTAGCCACTGAACGTCATAAAAGCTCGGTGTGAACGTTTTATCTTCGAGTCAAAGATAATGAAGACTTATCTCAGTCCGACTAACACATTTCAAATTAGCTGCCTTCAACATGTAGCGTCCCTCTGGGTGAACACGTTTAGGAAAAGATGCAAAAAATAAACGAGCTATTTCCATAGAGACAGTGAAAGTGAGAAGCACATTTTCACATCACACTCATCAGTGAGCCGTTCAGTTTGACTCTGTTTATTCATCATCCTTGCCTTCATTTATGGCATGGGCTGTCTCTTCTGCTTTTGGGGGATTTGATGTTATTTTGGCTCAGTGCTCAGCGGGGAAGATATCTTTTGTTGAAGTCCAATCTCTCTCCCTGCTTATCCCAAAGTTATTAGCATACATCTTTGGCTATGTGCTTTGAAGGCAGTGGCTGCATATCATTAGTTGAAACATCCTAAAACGACTTCTGCTAAATTTAGTTATGTATTTTAGATTCTAAACACAACCATCTTAATCTGATAGCAGATGAGCATTAATCTACCAAACTCAATCACCACTGAGTCCTTAATATCAATCACAATAAATACCATTTGATCTGTTGGTCTATTCCTCATTAAAAATGCAACATTAATGTGTTTGTATCTACATTCTTGCATAATGTATGTCTGCTGGATGTAACCTAATTAACATGCCATAGAGTTAGACAACTCACATTAATAACAACACAGGTGGGACAGTTCACCGTGAGCCACTTTTAAAAGTTTTTGCATAGAAACCTTTAAATCCTGAATAAAGTATTATAAAGAATAAGCTTTTAACATGATCTACATTTGGGATGTGGTCTGATTGACACTGGCAAAGACACAAAGTCTTTGTCGTGCTTTGTGAAAAAAATGTGTCAAGAAAATCCCTCCTGGTTAAGCTTCAGTGCTGCGTGTCAGTCGATGTACTGTGATAACCATCTGAAACCTTCCCCGTAGCCTTGTCTCTTCAACACACTGCACATGAAAATCTCCAGCGGCCGCGCGTTCAGCTCCTTCATAGAGACACTTCCCTGTGGAGACACACATAAAGGAGGAAGACGTCCATCAGGATACAGAGAGATCATAGGATTTCTGCGAATTAAAATCTATGACACGCCTACCTTTCCAGTAACCTGACCATCAAGAGCAAAAGCCCCTCTCAGTGCTCCCTCACTGATGGCTTCAGGGCGGTCGATTTTGTTCCCCAGCACCAACACTGGTGCACTGGAGATGGTTTCGTCTCCGAGAAGAGCCTGGAGAAAAGAGAGCAGCACAATCAACGTCAGTGAACAGTTAGCAGACAGTCAGGTGGAAAACAGCTTGGAACCGTGAAGTTAAATCTCACATCAAGCTCAGTCTTAGATTCTGAGAGCCTGTCGTGATCCGCACAGTCGACAAGAAAGACGACTCCATTCACAGCCGGCAGGTAGTTCTTCCACACTCTTCGAGCTGTCAGCAAAGAGAAAACTGTTTGTGAAATAACTCTCCTTGCAGCAATTGAATACGTGAGTGAATGCCCTTCACAGCTTGTAATGCAGCAATTTCATTATAAACTGGTGGAATTGAGCTGTGTCCTTGTATTGCCTCTGTGTACCATCTTAAAGTGACACAATCTTTATAAAGTGCATGAGGGTTATAAAGTGAATAGCTTTGAGTAAATTAACACACACAGAAGGTCTTTTTTATGATTTTTATATATTTCTATCTTGACTACGATACAAGGAAACTATTGGTTTACAATTTTACTGTAACATCAGAAACAGTGATTAACCTTGTAAAATAATGTATTCATC